ACTTTGTCTACAAAAATGCATATTTTAAAAAAAATTGGAGCCATACAAATGGGGGGGGGGTTGTATTTTAGTCTTACTGAAAGCTTCACATCAAATGTCTGAGGAAATGGGTAAGGCTTTGACTAAATTCAACTGGACACATCAGCTCGTCCTCCCCACCTACCACCCCTCGATAGGCTTACTCCTGCCCAGACATTTGAGAGCATCTGGTTGTTGAGCTAGAGGTGGGTTCCCAGTTGTAACATTTCCTTGACTCCAGTTCCTAGTAGCTTTGAAAGACTAAGACAGCCAGCTCAGACTTCCTAGAAACTGGCAGAGACTTGAGCAACAGAAAATGCATGAAAGGGGAAAAAGGTGGGAGGGAAGGAGAGATGGAGGGAGAGAGAGAGGGAGGGAGGGAGGGGTGGAAGGAGGCCCACCACAAAAATATGTGAAATCTGAGAGCAATTGATTGAAGCTTAGGAGTGATTCCCTTCCTTTTAGGTTTGCAAAGGAAATGGAAGCTTCAGATATAGACTGGCCTAGCTGTCCAAGTTCATACTCTGGGCCACCGAGCAAACGGTGTCTATCCAGCCTGGTACCCATGGAAACACCGCAGAGAGAGCTCCTTTGTGAACTCCGGAGAACTGCTGGGATGGGTTAGGCAGAAAGTGACCCCTTGCGTTAACCCCTAGATGGCCAAGAAGGAGCTTGGTGAGCAGCACAGCACCACAGTTAAGGGTTCGAGCACTGGAGGCTTACAGACCCAGCTCAAATCCAGCTCCATCTCTTTGGGGAATTACGTAACCTCTTAGTGCTTAAGGTCTTTTCATCATTTATTTCATAAAATGGAGGTAATGCTGTACAGTCTTCCTGTGAGGATTAAATGAGATGACTTAGGCATTTTGTTAGCATATTATCTTGGCAATGAAACTATGGCGTTTCCCTGCTGTCCACTAGATGGCACAAAGGGACCACTGTAGCTCCAGCGAGTTCAGTGGCAGCTCCTACTCCACAGGGAAAACTTTTTCTTTTCTTTCAAACTAGCCTTTTTTTCTCTATTCTTTACAATTTGCCATAGCTTTTTAAGGACCATCTCCATAACATATTATCTTTGGCATCTAGTTCCCCACGTGTTCCTCTCACCACCACCACCCCATCCCCCAAGTGAAAATGATGTACATCAGCTTATGTGATAGAGATGGTCCTTAAAAAGCTGTGGCAAATTGTAAAGAATAGAGAAAAAAGGCTAGTTTGAAAAAAGAAAATGAAAATAGTTTGCCCTGTGGTGTAGGAGCTGCCGCTGAACTCGCTGGAGCTACGGTGGTCCCTTTGTGCCATCTAGTGGACAGCAAGGGAAAAGCCGTAGTTTCATTGCCAAAGTTGGTGATTTGCCGGAAAAACATTTAAAGTCACTAACGGTTTCACTTGTTTAAAAACTTCATTCAGTAGTTTAAGCAAACGAAAAGAGTAGGGTTCTAAACATTAAGTGCTAAAACTAAACCTAAATTTCTAAAACCATTTGGAGGTAGGTGCTCTGTGCTACAGAGATCGCCCACTGAGGGGAGAGCAGCCACCCCAGTCCTGCCCAGCATGGCCCACCTTTCCATCCTTCTTGTCCTTCTCCACCAACATGCTTTATGCTTATTCTGGCACATGAACCGGGAACTATCTTCCCAACATGCTGCCAGGCCGTGGCTGGTACTGGAGCCAACGTACCATTCGGCTCATTTTTCTGTGAAGGCAACCATCACTTAAAATATGGCTGTTCTCAAATTGGACATCTGTCCAGGGCCTAAATGTTTGGAGTAGTTTTTCTGGTGTGTGTGTGTGTGTGTGTGTGTGTGTGTGTGTGTGTGTGTTTGCTCTGTGTTTCCTTTTAATATACTTTATTGATTTTTTTAATATTATTTATTTTTTTTTACAGAGAGGAAGAGAGAGGGATAGAGTGTTAGAAACATTGATGAGAGAGTCATCGATCAGCTGCCTCTTGCACACCCCCTACTGGGGATGTGTCCACAACCAAGGTACATGCCCTTGACTGGAATCGAACCTGGGACCTTTCAGTCCCCAGGCCGACGCTCTGTCCACTGAGCCAAACCGGTCTCGGCTGCTCTGTGTTTCCTTTTAAAGCCATTTATTTGTTACCTTTATAATTTGTTTCCTCCCCCAGATGTTTATGAGGATGAAGACAATGGCAGACAAACGTCCCCCAAATGTGAGTAACAAATAGCCTCTTGGAGTGCTGAAAGCTTCTCTGTAATATCCTTGTAATTACAATGAACAACAATCACAACCGTGTTACCTATTAAATTCCTACGATGTGCCAGACATTTGTAAACATTTTTCTCACACCAACCCTACAGAATAGAAACTCGTCCCCATTGTAGAGACAAGGAGCTGATGCACAGAGAAGTGAGGTGGCTTACCCGCGATCACACCGTCGTGAGCGCTTGGCAAAGTCAGACCTGCTCTCGGGTCTGACTCCAAAGCCCCTGCTCCTCCCACAGGGCAATGGGGGCCTCACCTGTTCGGTCATGTGCCTGTGACCTGCCAGACCCCGGGCCCGAGAGTCTGGGGTCCCCTCCGGGCTGCCACCTCCGCAGCACCGAAGGCTCAGTACCTGAGACTCTGAGTGCCACAGAGCCCGCGGCCAGGGAGCCCAGGGGGAAGGGGTGAGATGTGGACGTGACGGAGGTTCAGCCATGGCAGCCCACGAACTGCACCTTCCTCCCTGTGAAGCCAGGGGCTCTGACGGAGGGGCTTTCTCCAAGGTTTGCCGGGTTCTACCCAGTCTGGCTTCTCCCAGGGATCATGGGGGATCCGGGTAAATAGAGCTTTGTCTCTGCTGCCCAGAGCCCAGGGCCCTTGGGGGAGACACCTGGAGGAGCATCTGCAGTTGGTCTCAGAAGAAACTTTCCCTCAAAAGATCTTGTGAGATGATTGTGGGTGACCCAACCCCTCCTGCAGCCCCTTTCCTCCTCTATCTCCCAGAGTAGGGCAGAATAGAACATAATTGTTGAGCCCTAGCTGGTTTGGATCAGTGGATAGAGCATCGGTCTGCGAACTGAAAGGTCCCAGGTTCAATTCTGATCAAGGGCACATGCCTGAGCTTCGTTTCAGTCCCCTATAGGGGACATGCAGGAGGCAGCCAATCAATGGTTCTCTCTCATCAGTGATGTTTCTATTCCTCTCTCCCCATCCCCTCCTCTCTGAAATAAAAATATATATATATATATATATGTATATATATATGTATATATATATATACATATATATATATATTATTGATTTCAGAGAGGAGGGGATGGGGAGAGAGGAATAGAAACATCACTATTTTATATATATATATATATATATATATATATATATATATATATATATATATATATATTTAAAATAATGAGTGTTGAATAGAATAAAGACATCACACACTGTGAGAGTAACATGGTTCCGTAAACTTGTGTTTCACTTTATAAATGCACTTATGTGGGTGCATTGTGTTGGGATGTAAAATTCGCATCTCCCTTCAGGTGCACATAGAAGGGGCTGGAACTTGTCAGGTCTTTCAGTTCCCAAGTTGCCTCCAGCCATGTCCATGTGGGGGTTCTACAGCTGCTGGAGGCCAGAAACCTCCCTCCCCCATCCTCCTGGGTGGCTTTCTGGTCTCTGGAAGCAGCATTGTCTGGGCACTGACACCATGGACCCTGGAGACCCAGCCCTTTGGGTCACCCAGGGGGTGGACCAGGGCCTGGCTGCTCCCATCCCCCCTACAGCCTGCCTGCAGGACCAACAGACCTTCTCTCATGGTCTGCTCCCAGCATGGGCATCCTGGGTGGATGATCGCCCTACAGAGGCACCTCTAGGGGTCACAGCAGATGCCCCTGAGTCAAACATATGGAGGACGGTGGGAGGATCTCCCTGAACCAGTCTCTCATTTGCCTCACCCCTATCACGTGCTGGGACCAGGAATTAAGCCGGGGTTTTTGGAGGCCCCTGGGGGGCCCTGAGGGCAGCTCCATGCTGCTCACACAGCCCCCACTGGCCTGCCCTGGGGGGACCCTGGGCCCCAGAACACAGTTTGGGGGGACTCTGAGTAGCAAGTTGGGGACCTCACACATGACCACTGGCTGCTCCCCCAGATAACGAGCCTCCAGTGCACCCCCAGCTGCAAGCTCCTTCTGCTCCCTTCCAGACCGTTGCTCTGCCCAGAACGACCTCCCTCCCCATGTGCAGCCCCCTCCCTCCGAGTTCTCACAAACAGACCTTCTCTAGCCATCCCTCAGATTCCAGAACCTGCTGCTCACTGCTGGCCCTGGCCTGGGGCTGCCACGTGGGATCACTGCTGCCTCAGCAGCCTGCCTAGGGGTGGAGTGGAGCAGGGCAGGAATGCTGTAGACTCCAAGGGAATTTCTCCAAGTGATTATTCCTCTTGTATCTCAGTTTCTTCATCTGTAAAATGGGCTAAGGCCCTGACACAGTTGTCCTGACGTGCCCCACGGCGTCTCACAGCCCTGGGACACAGCAGGTGCACAGTGTGACTGTTGGCTAATTAACCCACTCATTGGAGAGAGAGGCGGGATTACTACTGCCCCCCCCACCCCCTTTCCTCAGGGGCAGTGCCCTGACATTGGCAGCGGCTGCTAAGGAAATGGCAGTCACCAGGGGAGAGAAATAAGAGCAAGAAAGGGAGGCGGGTGGAGAGGTAGTCAGGCACAAAAAGACGGAGAGTGGTTGTTTGTTTGTTTGTTTGTTTGTTTGTTTCTGGGAGAACAAAACAAAGGAGGCGGGGCTAGGAGCAGCCTGGACACCACTTCTAGGTCTCAGTTACAGAATTCAGAGCTGGAAGGGGAGCCTGGAGATCACAGACCCACCCTCCCCACCCAGGGGAAGCAGTGCGCCCCGGAGGGGAGGGGTTAGAGGTCGGAGAATGGGCTCCTGGGAGGGCTCCCCGTTCTCCCCCTCCTTTTCCCTCCACCCTCTCCCCCACAGCCCGCCCACGTACCCCCTTCTCCCCGCAGGCTGCTCCCGTGGGGCGTGCGTCTCTGCGGAAAGCTTTGAAGAAGGCGAAGGGGCAGGAGACCTGGAGAAGGAGAGCAGCGCTCTGGGGGTAATTTATCTCCTGCCACCTCTGGCCCATTCTCACCCCCTCATTCCTGGTCAGCAGCTTCCCCGCCTCCTCTTCCTCTCCCACCCCCTCGCCCTCAGTTCCCTGACTCCACCCTTTAAGGACCAGGCCTGGGCCAGGGAGGCCACTGCCTCTGCAAAGGGGCTCAGACCTCCCGCCCCTCCGCCCCCCACACCGGCTCCTTAGCCCGCGCTGGTTTCTGGCGGGAGTGGGGGACGCCTGTGGGGACCCTGAGTGGCCGGGTGGGCGATCCGGGGTGCACCCGCTCTGCGGGGGGCAGGGGAATCCGCGGTGGGCCTGGCCCGGCACCCCGCTAACCCTGAGGGTGCACCCTGCCCCGCCCTCCAGCTCTCCGGCCTTTTCCAGTTGGACGACAGCGATGACACCTGCTCCCCCAAGTCCGCTCCGGACCCGGGGGAGCGCGTCCCGGGAGGAAAGGGAGGTGACGATTAGGAGGACACGCGAGTGTGAGCCAGGAGGAAAGGTGGGTACGCGGACGTATTAGCCCAGGGGTCGGCAAACTCATTAGTCCACAGAGCCCAACAGCAACAGTACAACGATTGACATTTCGTTTTTGAGAGCCGAAAACCGACTTCTGCACGTGGGTCACGAAGTGTCAGTCGCGCTGTACCTGCGAGCCCGCGCATTGTTTTGTGAAAGAGCCACACTCAAGGGGCCAAAGAGCCGCATGTGGCTCGCTCGAGAGCCGCAGTTTGCCGACCACTGTGTTAGCCCTTCTCTGACTTGCTTCTTGGAATTTCTGGGCAATGGAGAGCGCTGGGGGTCTCGCCCCTGCGGGAGATGACCAATGTCTGGGCAGGAGCAGGGGGGCGGGTGGGGGCTGGCGAAGGGAAGAGGGGGGGGGGCTCCCCAGAAAACTGGCACTCCTTCCAGGCCGCCGCCCCAGGCCGTCCCCCGGGGCCTGGGAGCCACGGAGCGGACCCGCGGAGACCTCCGCCGGGACACGGGCCGCCCAGGGTCCCCGGGCCGCCCAGGGTCCCCGGTTCCCAGGGTTTAACCCGCCAGTTCCCACCGGGGACCGGCCTAGGCACGAGGATGTCTACCGATAGCAGCATCCCTGGCCTCGCCTCTGCCCGCAGGGCCGCAGCGCCCTCTCACCCAAACTGTGATGGTCACAAACACGCCTCAGACGCTGCCGAAGTCCTCCGGAGGGGGGTGCGGGGAGGGGGGCGGGGGGCGGGTCCGGGAGGACCTGAGGCCCTGAGCCGCTCCACCCGCCGAAGATCTCCCTCCTGGAAAGGAGCCTGGAACAGAGTAACTGCAAACACCACTTTTCCCTGCGGCCGCCTCCTCCGGCCCCTGCGGGAAAAGTGATGTTTGCAGTTACTTTGTTCCAGGCTCGTTTCCTTTCAGAGGATTTGCTGGTTACAAGGTAACTTGTACTCGTTTTTTTTTTTAATTTATTTATTTTTTGTTTTATTAGAGTTTAGTTTTACAGTTTTAGGTCCTAGCTTTCAAGTTACCTGTTGATGATTTTATTTTAAAGATTCGGTTTTTTAGTTATTCATTTTCAGCTATACTTAGAGTTATTTCATTTTCAGAATTATATTTCCAAATTAGTTATTTGACATACTCTTTAGAGTAAATGTTTTTAGTTATTTCAGGGTTTCCTCCTAGTTATTTAGTTTTAATGTGACTTACACGTTCACAGTTGTCTAGTTCTTTGGGGTTCTGGGTTTTTTTACTTTTACATTTTTGTCATTTAAGTTTTTTAGTTATTTTGTTTTAACTTATTACATTTTCTTAGTTATTTCTTTTCAGCTATGTCTTTGCCATTTTAATTTTTTTTTTCTGTTCTGTATTTTTACTCATTTCATTTTCAGAATTGTTTACTTTAGGATTTGTCAGTCAGGATCCAATCAACAGAGAGAGGGGGGTGGTGATGATGAGTGAGAAGCGCTCAGTCCAGCGGGGGGGGGGGGGGGGGGGGGACAGGACGGCCGGACGACAGATGTGGAAGCAGATCTTCACAGTGCAGTGTGACGCTCTGAGGGCTCAGAGCCCTTCCTGACCCGGTGGCGGGGGAAGGCGTGGCATCTGAGCTGGGTCCTCCAGGGCGTTCTCTCCGGTGAAGGGCATCCTGGAGGTGCACAGGCACAGGATCACGCCCCGCACAGCAGGGAGGATGGACTGACCCGGCTCAAAAAGGTGCTGCCACTATCTGGTGCTGACAGAGGTAGCCTCATTGAGGCCTCGCAGCCAGACTGCACGAGAGTAGGAAGTAACATCAGGAGCCAGAGCGCTCCCTGACCTTACTGCCCAGCCACAGTGTGCACGGCCCTCTGGCCTGCCCTTCCCGGAGTGCTTCAGCTGCTTCCTGGCTTTCTCACTGGTCCAGCCACCCCTTCCCCCGCATCCTTGGAGGTGAGTCCCACCTTCCTCCACCTTTTGTTGCTGTTTCCTAAACATCTGTAGGGAAGGAGGGGGATTGAGACCAGCCAGCTGTGACTTGAGGTGAGGTCAGGTGTGATGCACAGGGGAGGGCAGCTGCAGAGGAGGCACAGGAGAGCCACTGCAGGGTCTCAGGGAGGTTCTGCAGAGCAACTTCATTAGGCTCCGGCATAACCAGCTCTGACCTCCTCTGCCTGCACGCAGCAACCGTTGAAGGATGGTGGGGATGTCCTCCCCAAAGGTGGGAACCTGCTTTAGACCCAACCCAAGCTTGTGAATCCACAGACTGGGATTTTTAAAAATAATTCTTTACTGTTGAAAGTATTACATATCTCCCCTTTTCTCTCATTTAGCCCTTCCTGCTCTTGCATCCCCCTTTAAGGCCTTCAGTACCCTATTGTCACAGCCTGGGATTTTTTAAAGCACACAGAGCCTTTTGCTGCAGGAACAGCACTGGATATGTCTACTAAGTCACAAGAGAGTGTAATCTAGCCTGGCATGTTTTCACACTTCTTACAGGCAGTCTTCTCTGCTTTGGCCTCTCCCATTATCAATCACAAGACATGCGTTTCTTAGTGAGGATCTGTAAAACCAGAGCTGGACAGAAGAATCCTCAGGGTTCTGACTGTTAGAACCGTCAGGGAACACATCACTTGCATCCTCTGAAACACCGTTTCCACCGATTAGCCAGCCACTGGTTACAGAAACACAGCTCAAAGCCTTCTCCATCCTTTGGACCATTGTTTTCTGAATCTTTGAAAATGATCACATTTGACGTGTAGGCTGACGTGAGCACTTTGTGCTCAAGCCCCCTGCCCTCCCCCACCCCCAGACCCTCTCCACAAGCCTTACATCCCAGGGGGGAGGGAGGTGGCGGCTGAGGAGCCAGTGCCATGCCAGGCCTCGTGGCTGGCGTTCCCAGATGCCTCCCCTACAAGCTCTGGGTGGTCCTCTCTGGCCTTCCATCCGGCCTCCTTGTCCATGCCCCACATTGCTACTCTGCTGGCAGGTGTCCTTTGAGAGGAAACTGGGCTCGTGGTGGACGGTGGGGTGGGACGGGAACAGTGGAATAATTCTCATAAAGCCATGATAGATCCACAGTAGGTCCCCAGAAGGGACGGCATTCCCTGCCTCAGGGCCTGGACACACTGCTCACTCGGGAGATGGACTTCTCAAAGGCGGGGGAGGTGGCTCTCTGTGAATGAGGTTGGTGTCATTTTTCCATTTAAATCAATGGAAAAGACTCCAAACCCATCGGATAAAATCCTCCAGGCTCCTTTCACCACCTCTTCAAACCACCTGTGGCTTTACAGTGTTGCCTGTTGCCCACTAGAGGGACCCAGAGTTCAATGCGAGGGCTTTGGCTGAAGCAGTTGCCCTAAAAGTGGCCCTGAGTCCTTAAAACCTGGCGGGAGTCTGAGTCTACCAGAACCAGCCGGTACTACAGGTCCTGAAGATCCGGCTAGGTGGCTCAGGAAAAGAAAGAAAGAAAAAAGAAAAGGACAAGAACAGCGGGGGTTCAGGAGGGCTGGAATGCTTGATGGCACTGCAGCAGCAAGTTTATTAAAGACGCAAACTCTTTTATACCCTAAAGTTGGGCATTCCTCCAAATGGCCTTCTCTCGGCATGATGGCTACGTGCCAGTTCCTTAAGACCTACACAGGGAGATAGCTGCCTGGGATATTTCGTCCAGCTGTACTCTGCTATGTTAATTCAAGGACATGTTTACAGATTCCAATTTTGCACGCACAGCAGAACGAAGGACACTGTTGCTTGCCACGTCCCCAAGTGACCCGACTCCTGGGGGAGAGCAGGCAGGGCTACCTACCCTTGCTCCATCCCCTGATTCTCAGGTCGGTAGGGGACTCGGCTCCCAATATGAGTCCACACTAAATACCAGCCGTGCATTAGGAAATAATTAGAAACACAGATTCTCTACACCAGCATTTCCCAGAATGCACTTTGTAGAATAGGTAGAAGAGTGTAAGGGTTTAGCAACAAAATTATCCAATAATAAATACATTTTTAAAACATGACATAGTCTGTTCCTGTCTCAGCTGATTCCAGCTAGAGTAAAGGATCTGAGGATTCTTGCAGAAAGGAAGTGTGTATACTTTTGTTAAGCTCATCATCTCCCAAGCTTATTTGAACCCCTTTTTTTGTGGACTATAACATCCCATGTGTACGAGTAAAGGGAGAGGTTAAGCTGTTGTAACAAAAAGACCAAGCAATATAGTGACTGAAAGAATATCCTTTCTTGCTGAAACTGGTTTGGCTCAGTGGCTAGAGCATCGGCCTGCGGACTGAAAGGTCCCACGTTTGATTCTGGTCAAGGGCATGTACCTTGGTTGCATGCACATTCTTGGTAGGGGGTGTGCAGGAGGCAGCTGGTCGATGTTTCTAGCTCTTTATCCCTCTCCCTTCCTTTCTGTAAAAAAATCAATAAAATATTTTAAAAAGAAAAAAAAGAATATGCTTTCTCACAAAACAGCCCTGGCTGGGTATGCAGGCCACGTGGCCCCACGCAGTGGTCATCTGGTGTCCTGGTTTCCTTCCTTCTGGTTTTCCCACCGTCCCCTAGAACATAGTCCTTGGCTGCAGAGTCCAAAGCAAGTCTGAGAGGGTCCGATTCCCACTCCCAGCAAGCGGCATTATGGCACGGGCAACGTTGGAAGGCCCGCCCTCCGCAGACGGCACACACCTTCTCTTCCTTTAGCGAAAGCCTGGCTGCATGGCCACAGCAGCTGCCAGAAGGGCTGGGGGTGTAGCAAGGAGGACATTGCCCGCCTGCGATTTTATTATTGTGTGCCGGCGTCACCCAGCCAGCCTGCAGCAGAGCAGGGACTAGAACCCTGGTCTCCCGACTCCTACCCAGGATTCCAATGGCCACATTAGCACTGCTTACCCCTTCATCGTGTATGAAGTGCCTCTTGAGTTCCAAGTTTATTGTCAGATGAGGATAGAAAGCTTTATCAAACACAGTTTCACTGGTTCTCTATAAAATACCAATTGCATCTCTAATCTGCTCGCAGTTGTTATTTATGGATAAATTTTTGAATGTGGCTATTACAGCAGCAAAAACTATAGGTTTATATCATAATATTTTCATTTGCCAGAGTACACATACAATGTTTCATTCAATGTTGTTTCGCTGATGTTGTTAAAAAAGAAAAAAAAAATCGATTCCTGCGCCTGGGCCACTGTTGGTTTGGAGTCTGCACATTCTCCCATTTCTGCGCAGGTTTTCTCTAGGTACTCTGGTCTCCTCCCCATCCCGAAGATTTGCACATGAGGTGAGTTATCTAAATTGTCCCAGCCCCTGGCTGGTATGGCTCAGTTGGTTGAGCCTTGTCCCATGCTGGTTTGGTTCCCAGTCAGGGCGCGTGCAGGAGGCAGCCAATTGCTGTTTCTCTCTCTCATCCATGTTCCCCTCTCTCTAAAATCAATAAAAACATAGTAAGTCGCCCAGTCGGAGTGAGGACAGGTGTGTATGAGTGTGCCCTGCGGTGGAAGAGGGTCCTGTCCGGGGCCGGCTCCTGCCTTGCACCCTGAGCTGCAGGGTAGGCTCCAGCTCCCTCCACCCTGCACTGGGAAATAATTATCTTCCTTGTTTTTACTCATCTTTCTTAAATGTATGTGTAGTTCACATTTATCTTAATCCTTAACATTGGAAGTATTTGGGGTCTTTATTTAGAAGCTTTGTGATGTTTTTATTCATCTTTCTTAAATGTATGCATAGTTCACATTTAATCTTTAACATTAGAAGTATTTGGGGTCTTTATTTAGAAGTTTTGTGATGTTTTTGTAACCAGAAGTATGTCATAGGGACTTAACTCTTGTTTAATATCAATGAGCCTCTGCTAAAATAAAGTCGAAGTTTCCAAGAACCTATTTCTGACATTAAGTGAGGACTTCACTGTGCAATGGGAATAGGAACAGAGTATAAAAATCTTGAAATGAAACCCAAATACATCCCAGAGTTTAGAGTATGGAAAGAGGCATTTCAAATTAGTTCTGAACAACAAAAACAAAGAAAGATGAATTATGTGTGAAAATGTTGCTGGGATCCTTGGATGAGAGCAATGTGGAAAAAACAGTGTTTACCTCAGCCCTCAGTATAATTCATATTGTCCAAACATGTGACTTAAAGGAATCATGAAAGTCAAAGCATTCAAAATATAATGTTGAATAGGGTAAAGTCTTTCCAGACAAAAACTGTAAGAAAACTAAAAGAAAATTTTGATTAATGGGGTATGTAAGAAGCAAAAACTTATATGTAGAATAAAGAACAAAAAGTCAAATCATAAATACATTTTCTTAAACCTCACCTGAGGATGTTTACTTGTTGTTTTTGTTTAAGAGAGAGAGGAAGGTTGCGGAAGAGAGAGAGAGGCATGGATCTATCGATCTGTTGCCTCCTGTATGTGCCCCAACCAAGAATCGAACCTGTAATGTAGGCATGTTCCCTGACAGGGGATCAAACCCGCAACATTTTGGTGCACAGGACAACTCTCCAACCAATTGAACCACCTGGTCAGGGCCATAGTACATTTTTAAGACATATTGCACTGACTATTTCCTTGGTACATAAAGATAACAACTAGGGGCCTGGTGCACAAAATGCATGCATGGGTAGGCTCCCTAGGCCTGGCTGGCAATTAGGGCTGATTAGGGAGATTCCCCTTCTCCCCACCTCCCTGCCTCTCCACCTTCCCTCCTCTTCCTTCCCTCACTTCCTCAGCATCCCACTGCTGCTGGTCTCCTGCCATGTTCTGCACTGCCTCCTGCGGGTCAGGCCTCATCATAGCGATCAAACAAACTCCTATTCTCCTGGTTGAACTCCCAAAAGGACACTTTGCATATTAGCCTTTTATATATATAGACTAGAGGCCCATTGCACGAAGATTCATGCAATAGGCCTTCCTTCTACTGACTCTGGCACCAATTTTCCTCTGGCATCTGGGACCCAGGCCTTCGCTCCAGCTGCAGTGGAGAAGCCAAGTCTTGAGGCTTCTCCACTCTCGCTGTAGTGAAGAAGCCAAGGCTCTTCAGTCTTCAATCTTTAGTTATCATCAGTCTTCAGTATTGAGTCTTCACTCAGGCTGGAGCCTTCAGTCTTCATGCCGGGCCTGCATATGCAAATTAACCCACCATTTCTGGTGGGTCATTTGCATGCTCACTCCTGATTGGCTGGTGGGTGTCACAAATGTACAGTCAATTTGCATATTTCTCTCTTGTTAGTGTAGATAATAACAATAATAGAAAAAAGAAATGGGCAATAGACATGAATATACACAGGAAAGAAATTTAAAATCCAATAAATATACAAAAAGCAGCAAAACAATAAGATAATCTTTTTTCATTAACAGACAGTCCAACATTTAAAACTTTGATAACCTCCAGTATTGGAGAGACTATAACAAAACCATTACTGTCACACACCACTGGTGAGGGTATAAATTAGTACTAGATTTTAGAAAATGATTTGCAATGGCTATCAAAATTTAAAATACATATATAATTTGATCTAGCAATCCCACCTCTAAGAATTTATTTTAATGGTAAACAAATCAACAAAGATATATAGATATAGACAGGTGTGCGTTTTCACCTTGCTCTTAATGGGAAAGCAGGTAGGGGAAGATGGGGGACAGCCTAAATGTCGGTGGTAGTGTTAAAACTCATCCCCAGATTGGTACTCCTCCCTTTGAGTGTGGGCAGTAGCAGTGACTCTGATCAATAGAATGTGGTGGAAGTGAAGGTACAGACTTTCATGACTGGGTTATAAAAAGCATTTTGCCTTCTTCCTCTTTCTGCCTCTTGAGTTAGTCACCGTGGAAGAAGCCAGCTGCCGTGTTGAGAAGATGCTGAAGCTGCCCCGTGACGAGACCCACACACAGGAACCGAAGCCCCTCGCCCGCCCACAGCCACATGAACAAGCCACCCAGGAGGCGGGCTCTCCTGCCCCAGCCAGGCCTCCCCGCGGCTTCGGCTCCAGCTGATTTCTTGGCTGAAACCTCAGGAGAGACCCAGAGCCAGAAGGATCCAGCCAAGCTGCTTGTGAACTCATGACCAGAGGAACATGAGATGATAAATGTTTGGCTTAAGCTGCTAAGTTCTGGGGTCATTTGTTAAGCAACAATGGGTAACAGATATACTATTAAATAATAAAAAACTGGTTAATAAAGTATTGTTATGACATAAATTGGAACTCCATGCTGCTGTGAAAAATAGTATCTTCTGCTTGAGATGTAGAAAGCTGGAAGGAGTACTATCTCCATGCTTGCAAGATATTAAAAAATCTGGAAAATACACACATTCACAACTTTTCTTGAACTCATGAGAGAGCTGAGTTCACAGCCTGAACTGAAATTTAAGGAAAAACATGTCCTTCCCCTTCATCTTCCCTCTGCTTCTTCCCCCACAGACACGGATCTCCTGAACTTTCAGGGTCCCGACGAGACTTGTAACCAGGGGAGCAGTGGGCAGCGGAAGCTCATCCCAGGCTTACCCCCTGACCCTGTCTCTAAGGCCCCCTTTTTCTGACTTCTCCGTGAGCCCAGCCTGAGCTCATTTCCCCACCTAGTCCCTCTCTGGTTGCTTCTTCTGTCCTAGGCTCTTCCTTGTTTCACTGTCCCTACCTTCGTAAAGGTCCTCTTAATGGGAAAGCAGGTGGGGGAAGATGGACTCAGGTTGTGAGATGCTTTCTGCATGAAGTCAAGCAACCACACACTACCAGCCAGCCTAGCAGAACCACTCGGGGCCAGGGCCCCTTTCCAGCAACAGTTTTCTTAAGTGCACACAGAACATTTAATGAGACAGACCGTTGTTATGGGATGAATTGTCACACACACACACACACACACACACCCCTCTGTGTTGTGTTGATCTCATCCCACTGACAGTAATACTATAGGCTGTGGATGTATATTCTTCACTCAGACTCATAGGCCTGAGAGATAATCCTCCTTTGCTTTGTCTAATTTAACAGAGGAAGGCTGTAAGACATGAAAAGGTCGCCTCTCAAAGATCCTGAGTAGATTTTGTATTCCAGGAACTTTGGGTTTGTCAGACCACCTGGGAGCAGGCACTATGTTCTCCATTACACAGCAGGAGAAACCGAGGCTCCAAGGGGTCACTCAAGGTCGTACAGCTGGGGGGTTGCAAAGGCCAGGCTCTAACCCACATCTCCCTGACTCCAAGCTCAGCTTCTCCTTCTCCTCACCAGGGGAGGCCCCAGGGGAGGCGGCCGTGGCTGCCTTAGACATTTAGTGAGCACACGGAGATGGACCGTGCTCTAACCACTGAGCTTTATAAGGCTCCTGCCCACCCTCATGACGGAGGGGCTGACTGGCTCCTGGCTGAGAGGCCTCTCTGGCTTACTTCCAGGTCTTAAGGAAAATGAAGACCCACTGAAAGGGAGAATGGGCAGGTGCTGCCTCAGGTCCCCACCTCTGGTGGAGACATGATCTCAGGTGTCCACATCCCATCCCCCACACTCCCAAAACCTAGAGCCTGAGATGGAAGCGCCTGCTTTCTCCCCAGGGCCACTTGTGGTTCCCTCCCCACTGGGGAGGGCCTTTCAGCTACTTCTCACTATGTAAACCACTTAAAGGAGGAAGCCGCCCTGGAATCAGCCTCGGGCCACTCAAAAACCCAGCTGTGCTGAGCCAGGCCACAGAGCAGCAGGCCCAGCCCTCGGAGTCCCCAGCCCGGGCTCCCAGCCATGCCCTGGCAGCTCCCTGCAGCGATGGCGCTCCTCCTGTCCCTGGCCGGTGAGTGACATGCATGTCTTTGCACAGGGACCCTGCCATGCCTGGTCCTAACTGCATTTTGGTGCCACTGACCCAGGCAGGACAGGACAGACTGGGTAGCTGTGGTAGCGTCCGTGACGGTGGGTTTGTGGCTCCCAGCGTCTTGTTTCCTCGTTAGCTTACCCAGGTGGGCGCGCCTCGTGGTTTCCAAGGGCTTCCACGTGTGCACTTTTCTGTGCCTGGGGCAGAGCAGGTGGCAAGGAAGACGGTGACACTGGCCCTGGTTCCCAGATGGGTTTGGGGCACCTTCTCAGGGAGAATCTGTAGAGATCACTTAATTTAAGAGAGGGAGGCCAGCCGAAACCGGTTTGGCTCAGTGGATAGAGCGTTGGTCTGCAGACTGAGGGGTCCCGGGTTCGATTCTGGTCAAGGGCATGTACATTGGTTGTGAGCACATCCCCAGTGGGGGGTGTTCAGGAGGCAACTGGTCGATGCCTCTCTCTCATCAATGTTTCTAGCTTTCTATCCCTCTCCTTCCTCACTGTAAAAAATCAATAAAATATATTTTAAGAGAGAGGGAGAGAGAGAGAGAGAGAGAAAGGGAGACCAGAACTGGGACTCAGCAATGGGGCTCTTGCTACATTGTCTGGGGAAAGCATCCCAAGTCTTGCTTTTCCTCTAAGTCAGTGGTTCTCAACCTTTCTAATGCCACGACCCTTTAATACAGTTCCTCATGTTGTGGCGACCCCCAACCATAAAATTATTTTCATTGCTACTTCATAACTGTAATGTTGCTACTGTTAATGAATCGTAATGTAAATAGCTGTGTTTTCCGACGGTCTCAGGCGACCCTGCTAGCGGTTCTCACCCTGTGGGTCATGACCCGCAGGGTGAGAACCGCTGCTGGAGAGCCTGAGACCATCGGAAAACAATGAATTGTGAAGATGAATGAGGTGTGATCCACAGAATGCTCCCCATGCACAGACACTGTGGTGAAAAAACACGCACATTCCCACCTCGAGATTGCTTTTAATCCAGTGGGAGAGATGTGCAATCAACAAATAAGTCAGTAAGTAAACATTTAACCACAGCTGATATTCTGCTGGGACACACACTCTGTCTGGCCAGGCTTATTGTTAAATATTTGTATTCTATCCCCTTATAGAATTACAAGTTGTGATCAATACAGAGAAGGCAACAAATATAACTTCTGTGGTGGAGAATCAAGGAATGGGGAGCTAGTTTACAGAAAGGGGTCAGGGAGGACTCTGAGGAGCTTACATACAGAGCAGGCAAGGTAGGTTGACAGTTTTAATTATGCAAAACACAGTTTATCCTTGCATTATTATTTATTTTAGTGGCCCGGTGCACGAAATTCGTGCACAAGGGGGGTGTCTCTCAGCCTGGCCTGCATCCTCTCTAATCTAGAACCCCCTGGGGGTTGTCCGATTGCCGGTTCAGGCCCACAGGTATCAGGTCTGAACCGGCTGTTGGACATCCCTCTCACAATCTGGTAATCCGGGACCACTGGCTACTAATCGCTCACCTGCCTGTCTGCCTGATCACCCCTAAGCACTCTGCCTGCCAGCCTGCTGGTCCCCAACTGCCCTTCCTTCCTGGCCTGATTACCCCTAAGCACCTCTGCCTCAGCCCTGCCACCATGGCTTTGTCCAGAAGGACATCAGGAAGGTTTCCCAGGAGGTCTCCTGGTCTAATTAGTATATTACCCTTTTATTAGTATAGATTAGTTATCATATTATTTATTTGTATTATTGTTATTATTTTGTACTCTTACTTATGACTTACCTTTAGGTAATGATGGCTGGTAATCTAACCTACTTTTGCCCACACCTTATACGCCAAAACAGGAAGGATAGCCCCCCAGGTGTATCAAAGCCATGATGGCTTAATTTTCTTTCTAACTAACTTGAGAAAAGCTAGGCCACTCAGAGGTTAAGTAAAGAAATCACAGGAAATGACCTATATTTAGAAAAACTGGTGGTTAAGATAAAACATGAAAGGGTACTGAGTCTCCCATCATTGGAGGTAATAAGCACAGAGCAGATGAACACATGGCTACTCATCAGTTCAATTTACACATCTAATTAGGGTTTGAACTAGAAGAGCTTTAAAACCTCTTTTGAATCTGGGATTATATGGTTTTATGCAAACTATACAACTCTGTGTCTCTTTATTACCATTCTTCACACTGCCCCAGTGGAATCAAGTCAACATAGCCGCATTCTAACCGGGAACACTCTTTCCAGGTGAAGATGGGGAATGAAGAATGGACACTTAGCTGTGTTGCTGAGTGTGATCACTTGGTGTGTTAGTACCACATCCCATCTAGACAAGGGAGGTTGGATAGAGAAGACACCTGGGTATCACCGAAACATCACAGTTAGGCCTTGTGGTAGAATCTCAGGTGATCTTCCCTTGCCTGTTACATGCTTTTAACTTTCCCCCAAATCTGGAAATATGCATGTTTATTTTTAATGAAGAATCGGGGAAGAGCTGTTAGCTGAGAGTTCTCTCTTTTGTTCCCCAATTTGCAGTGATGTTGCATCATGGCAGTCAAGTGAGAGCAACGGGGTTTCCAGAAATCTCAGGCTCTTCTCAGCCTACAAGAGGAGCAGCGGTCCAGGCCACAGCAAAACCTCCTTTCCTGCAACTGACCAGCCACGTGCCTCACAGCTCTACAGCAGCACGCTCAACGGGTGGTCACGTTCCCTCTCAAACCACTGCCACAACCTCTAACTCCGAGATCCCAACCACACACACAACAATAAAAACTCTAACAACAACCTCCCTGATAACTACCAACAGCACCCCATCCACCAGCCCAGAAATCCACACTCTGGGCACAACCCTGGCCACACCCAACAACTCACACACCGCTGCTCCGGTCACCGAGGCTACCATCGGCCCCAGTGCAGCTCCTGGTTCACTGCCCCCCACTGTCACCCCACCAGCCCACACAACTAGACCCAATCCATCGACTGTCAGCCGCACAACTGGGAAGACCACCGAATCCAGTAGCCAGACCACCCTTCTAGCCACTTTGTCCACCTCACCACACATCAACACAACCACTCAGAAGCTCACTCAACCCACCCGTGCCCTGGTCACAACCCCAGCTGCACACAATGCCACCCACACAGCCTCACCTGCCACCATGGCGCCAGGGCCCACCCTGGCACCTCAGCCATCACCAGCCAAGACTGGGGTTTATCAAGTTCTAAATGGAAGCAGGCTCTGTATCAAAGCAGAGATGGGGATAGAGCTGATGATCCAAGACATTGAGTCGGTAAGTTGGGGCCTCATAACACTGTCTTCAAGTTTGAATGGAGTTTCCTTGCCAAGAATGAGCATTCCACTGCATCCTGCATCTTTTAATGAAGTAAATAGTGTGAGCACCTCTATCTCCAAGGTGCTCCATTAAAACAGTGGTCGCCAACCTTTTGGACCTCATGGACGACTACTGGTTGGCAACTCAACTGCTCCAAAGATTTTAGGCCCTTGGTCAGCAAACTGAAGCTCATGAGCCACATGTGGCTCTTTGGCCACTTGAGTGTGGCTCTTCCACAAAATACCACGGCCTGGGCAAGTCTATTTTGAAGCAGTGGCATTAGAAGAAGTTTAAGTTTAAAAAATGTGGCTCTTAAAAGAAATTCCAATTCTTGTACTGTTGATAATTGACTGTTGACTAATGAGTTTGTCGACCACTGGTTTAGGTGAATCTGTTTTATAATACTTGTAAAAATAGAAACCAACAGTGACAGCCAGGAGAGAGGAAGGCACTCACCAAAAATTTAAATAGGCACACCTGTAGGCATTCAGGATCTGAAGGAGGGGCCGATGCACAAGTGAAAACACTAGACAAGGCATGGGGGCCAGGTGGAGACCTCTCTCAGAGAGGCACCCTGAAACCTGGCGTAATCCACTTTTTATTCAGTTTTAGATACACATCTTGCCCTCAGTAAAGTACTGCAAACAGGTAGCAGACAGACCATCTCTAAGGTCAGTAAAGATCAGTAAGGTCAGTAAGGTCCAGTAAACCTTTACTTTGGGGCTATTAGGTCAGGAAATTACTTTGAGTCACCACTATCTCAACACAGCCCTGTTAATGCCCAAGGTCCATCGGCCTTCGGAGTCCCCTGGTGCACTCTTATGACAGTATTGGGAAAGCAGTGGCTTCCTGCACACACCCCTCACTATTAGCCACCATAGGCAGAGCATTGGGGGTGCTCAGTGTTGATCCCAGTCTGGCCCTACCCTGCCCGCCAGATGGCCTTCCAGCCTCAGCAACTGTTCATGTGAAGTGAGAGGTTTGGATTAGGTGTTTTCCGTGGTTCTAACCAGCTGGGACATGAATACGGAAAATCCAGATTAACAAGAAGATTGGAGAGGATGGAAGTGAAACTGAGATGATTTGATTTACTAAAGGAATCACCACAAAATGCACTTTCTTTTTTTGTACAGTTTTTTTTTTAATTATTATTATTGTTGTTCATACTCACCCAAGGATATTTTTCCATTGATTTTTAGAGAGAGGGGAAGTGAGGGGGAGAGACACACAGAGAGAAACATCAATGTGACAAAGACACATCGATTGGTTGCTTTTCACACCTGCAACTGAGGTATGTGCCCTTGACCGGAATTGAACCCAGGACCCTTCAGTCCACAGGTCAATGCTCCATTCACTGAGCCAAACCATCCAGGGCCTTTTTTGCATAGTTTTTATGATTTCAAACAGAACTTCCACATTTGAAGCTGAAGTACATTACATAGCAAATCTTTCCTGCAGTACTTTTCAACGTGCGTAATTTAACAAAAATTAACTTCCACATAGTTTACCAGGAATACAGCTGCCATGAGTTATCTACCAAGGAGCTCCTCTCTGAAGGAGAACTCCTTTAAAGAATCCTTTGAACCTAACAGTTTGGAAATGTGGGGTGTCATGCAGGGACTTTGAAATTCTCCAGTGAACCCCACTAGCCTTGAGTTTCAGGCTCACTTATTAGTCTGTGCTTTTGCTTCCCCAGTTAGACTTGTCTTCTGTATCGACATGAGCTGATCTATTTTATCTGGTTTAGGTGTTTTCACCTCAGAGATACTTCAACATCGACCCCAATGCAACTCAAGCCTCTGGGAACTGTGGCTTCCGAAATTCCAACCTTCTCTTGAATTTCCAGGGAGGATTTGTGAACTTGACATTCACCAAGGTGAGGACTGAGCTCATCACACTTACTGGCTTCAACAGCTCTCTCCCTCCCCGTCTCCCTCCTCCTGGGGCCCAGTGGTGCAATCCCACACTTCACTTTGAGTCCTAGGGAAATAGGTCTCAGAGCCTTTTGAGATGTTCTCTGATAAGAATGGAGGGGCATGGAGATGGAGAGGAGGAAAGTGTCGACATCTTATATTTGCCTTCTCCCCCCTCCCGCCTCCTCTGTGCAGCTCAGAGGGCCTTTTGATGCCTCTTGGGGGAGACTTGGCCTGGGGAACCCAGCAGCAGGTGCCCTTTGCAAACCACCCAAGGAGGAAGTTGTAGAGATGAATAGACCTGGTGGAGTTCCCAGTGAGCACCAGAGAAACAAGATTATTCTAAGACCAAAACCAAATGCCACCATGGGTCTTTCCAGCCACGGCAGGAAAAATTCAGGGACTAACCGGGCCCTGGGTTTTCTAAACCATATCCTGGAAGGGCGTAAACAACAGAGTAGAATGAAAAAAGCATGGGTGTGAGGCCAGAGTGTCACTGGTTCTCCTTGTGACATTGGGCAGGCAACTCGACAGGTCTGAGCTTTATTTTATCACTTGAAAAATGGGGGAAGGGAATTCTAGTTCACTTCTGTAAAGAGTATTGTCCAATACAAAGAATGTAGGTGTTCAATAACCAGGAACTATGATTGAACTATAAGGGAGAGAGAGAGAGAGAGAGAGAGAGAGAGAGAGAGAGAGAGAGAGAGAGAGAGAGAGAGAGAGAGAGAGAGAGATTGTTTCAGTTATCTTTGCATTTATTGGTTGCATCTTGTATGTGCCCTGACCGGGGATCGAGCCCGCAACTTTGGCATATCAAGACGACACTCCAACCAACTAAGCTACTTGGCCAGGGCTGGTAATTTATTTATTTTTCTTTCTTTTAAAAAAGAAACTGTTTTAAATTAATTCAACTAACAAAGATTTTTAAGTAGAATAGAACTTAATGTTGGCAAGGATACATATAACCAAGTGCTCTCAGCGTTTCTGGAAGGAGTTTGCGTTTGTACCCTATGATCTTTGGTCTTCATGTCTTTTTCCACATCTTGTAGTGAAAATATTTTCCACTTTCTATGTGAAGGGAGATTTCCATTAAATCTGCATAAGAAAAAGATTAGAGTAAGTATGAGATGATAAGTGGCAACTAATAAGGCCTCTGTAGAGAGGAGACAAAAGGAAGGCTAGGAAGTGCCCTACTTCCCCGGGGGGGCGGGGGGGGGGTGGCTTGAGGAGGGCAGCCATACCACAGCTGAAGCTGGTGGGGCTGGCATCTAGCCCAGGGCACTTATCACCGTCTTTTTTGGTAGGCACTGCCCTACTGCACCAGTTATTAAATATTATACACATTACCTCTATCAGGTGATAATGAGACCAATGTTGCCCGAGCTTCTGATTGTTCAAAGGAAGGCAAACATTCAGATCCTTTTATAAAAGCACATGATTTTTTAAGTATTGCCAACACATTTTTTTTTTTAATTTGAACACTCTCCCAGCCAAACAAAACATAGCTGTGGGCCAGATTTGACCTGTGGACCGCAGAGTGGTGCCTTCTGCCCTAATAGGTGACATGTGTGAAATGCATGAAGGCAGGAAAGCCATCTAGATTCTTCCACAAGAGAAATGGCTCAAAAGCTCAGTCAGCTACTTTTCAAATTTTGCTGTGTTCTGCACCAGTGTTTTTCAACAGGTGCAGCAGCAACATTTGGACTTAGAAGAGTCTTTTGGGGGGCTGTCCTCTACCTTGTGGGGACACCATCCAGGGTCTCTACCTACTATAATAGATGCCAACCCCAGCTGTGGCAACCCAAAATGTCTCCAGATAGTGCTTAATGTCCTCCTGGAGGCACAGTCACCCCTGGTTGAGAATCAGTGCTCTAGAGAAAATGAGAGCCTTGGAAAACAGGAGTGTATTTTAGTTATAAGATAATCCAAGCTAATAAAAGAGAAACATGCAAATTGAACATACCTTTGCTACACCCACAAGCTAAGCAGGAGCGAGTATGCAAATTAACCCAACAAATAGGGCAGCCTCCACGCAGCTGAAGAGAGCAGGAGGCTTGGGTTTCCCCTGGCAATGGAGGAAGCCAAGCTTCCCACCTGCCCTGGCCTGCCGTGGCCTCTGCTCAAGGCTACAAAGTTTCAATTATAGAAGATAAATAAATCCCAGATACTAAGGCCTCTGCTTGGGTCACCAGGAGGCGTGACCAGCCTTCAAACCACCACAGGCCCCTTGCCCAGGCCACCCATGCCCCAAGGGAACCCCCATGCTGATCCGCCACACCCTTCAGGGCAAACTAGCTAGCCCTCTCCCGTGCACCAGACCTCTATCCTATTTAATAAAAGAGTAATATGCAAATTGATCATCACGCCAACACACAAGATGGCTGCCCCCTTGTGGACACAAGATGGCCAGCAGGGGAGGGCAGTTGGGAGGGACCAGGCCTGCAAGTGAGGGCAGTTAAGGGTGACCAGGCCAGCAGAGGAGGGAAGTTGGGGGCAACTGGGCCTATAGGGAGGGGCAGTTGGGGGAGACCCAGGCCTGCAGGGGAGAGCAGTTGGGGGAATCAGGCCTGCAGGGGAGGGTAGTTAGGGGTGATCAGGCCTGCAGGGGAGGGCAGTTAGGGGCAATCAGGCTGGCAGGGGAGCAGTTAAGCATCAATCAGGCTGGCAGGCAGAAGGGGTTAGGGACAACCAGGAAGGCAGCAGGCGAGCAGTTGGTAGCCAGCAGTCCTGGATTGTGAGAGGCAGTCGGACATCTCTCAAGGGGTCCCAGATTGGAAAGAGTAGAAGCTGGGCCGAGGCCGGTTTGGCTCAATGGATAGAGCGTCGGCTTGGGGACTAAAGGGTCCCGGGTTCGATTCCGGTCAAGGGCATGTACCTTGGTTGTGGGCATATCCCCAGTGGGGGGTGTGCAAGAGGCAGCTGATCGATGACTCTCATCGATGTTTCTAACTCTCTATCTCTCTCCCTTCCTCTCTGTGAAAAATCAATAATATATATATATATATATATATATATATATATATATATGAGTAGAAGCTGGGCTGAGGGACACTCATCCCCCCTGCACAAATTTTGTGCACCAGGCCTCTAGTCTATAACAATAAAAGCATATTATGCTAATTAAACTGGACATCCTCCCGGATGTCCTTCTGGACAACCTTCCAGATGAAGCCGCAGCAGTGGGGCCAAGGTGGTGGGGGCCAAGCCCCCTGCTCGATTTTTGTGCATAGGGCCTCTAGTAAATGTTACAAGTGAGAACCAGATTGTGGAATGATAAATAGAAGCTGATTAGCAAGCCTGATTTTCAACCAATTTATCAATAAGAATTTACTAATTCTTCCTATTTCATCCTCAACACTGAGCTAAACATTATAGAGGGGGAAAAAAAGAAATATAAGCAACAGCTGTAGGTTCTAAGTCATGGACAATAATCTGTAATTTTGAAAATTTAAATATAGTGACAGAAACAGAGAAAATCTGCCTCCCATACTGTCATTTAATGCCATTGTGCAAACAAGACTCTAGTCACCCATGTCATTTCCACGTGCCCATGGACAAGCTGCTCACTTTCTCTGAGTCCGTTTCCTCTCCTGTGTAGCTCACCTAGCCCAGGTGCAAGTGCTAAGTGTGGTCTCTGGCCCATAGTCGGGTTCAGAGAGGTAGGTTTCCTTTCTTATTTTCTTTAGTTTCATTCTTTTCTTAAAGAACCGAAAACCTTCCCGTGACAATTCTCATTTGATTGAAGTGACTTGCTGAAAGTTGTTCAGACCCTTCAGGTGCAAGATAAATATACCTTCCTTTCCCTGCCAACTTCCTGCCTGCCAGATCGTTTGTTTTAAAAACACCTTTCAGTAACTTCTGGTAGAGTTCACTTTTCTGTGCTCAACACAACCATTCTATCCTATTTAATAAAAGAGTAATATGTAAATTGACCATCATGCCAACTGCTGGTTGGCAGGATAGCACCAGCGAGGAGGGGCACCAGGGCTACACAGGACATTGGCCAGCTCAGGTCTGGAAATCTGCTAACCCGCCTCATGTTTCCAGGGACCTGCAGTGTCCTCTTAGCTTACAGTCTCCTGAGAACTCTTAACCGCGCTGAGGGCACTGTTTAGAACTTCCCAAGTCTATGGTACCATTTTATGCTCTGTTTTTCCTTTCACTTTCCCTCTGCCTGGAATGCCCCTTCCACCCCTCACCCCCTTTTGCATTTGTCCTTTAAGATGGCCCAATTATCTTCACCTTTAGAAGTCTCCTCACTCCACCTCCATCTCAGGTAAAACTGGGAGACGCTTCTCTTGGTTGCCTGAGCCTCCATCTGTTGTTCCACCATCTCCATTAGGGCCCTCATCACACATTCTGCTATCATGAAGGCAAGTCTATGACATTCACATTTCTCTCTCTAGTATCCCAGCCCTGACTTGGTACATAGTACATAGAAAGTGCTTGATGACAAAATAAATCAATAAAGGAGTGAATCTGAATTTTACCGAGAACGGGGCCACAGTGCCCTAACATAGATCAGCAGCTCCAAGGAAACAGGCCCTTTGGCTATTGTGCTGGTCACACAATGCTGACCAAAAAGACCTGATTGATATTGAAGACAAAATTTGGATCCTGAACATCTGTAACCATGAAACTCCTACAATACATTTTGCAGAAGCGAAGGAGAGGACCCTGAGGCCTGTGGTCAATGGCATGCTTCCTTCCTGAGCAGGTTTGACTGGCTGGCTTGCTCTGACCCTGTCCTTTGCTAAGGAGGGTGTTTAGGTCCCCTGAGAAATTAGATCTCTTTGATGAGAGATTTCAGAGCTCCCTTTTGATACTGGCAGTGTCAGCATCCCATTGATGGAATAGTGAGATAGGACTTTTGCAAATGGTCTATTCAAATGGACATGTTGTAAATGCCACACACAACATTAGGAGACGATGGCCCCCTTTTGTCAATGGGTCCACAAAGGATTTTCATTTTGTCTTTCACGAATCTGGCATGGGAGATGTTTGTCATTCTCCAAACCAAACCCCAAATAAGAAAAACATCTGGCAGAGAATGACCTTATGGGTGTGGGCGTCAAAGAAAAAAGCAGACACTGTAAACTGAGTAACGTGTGGCATGTAACTTCCCTTGGGTTTTAGGTTAAGTCTGACACCTTTTTGAAGCTTCCCACATCCTTGCCCCCCTCCATGGACTCCTATCCCCTGGCGCTGAACTTTCAGTTTCTTTAATCAATAGAGCTATGGAAGCATAGCTCACTTGCTTGCTCCCTTTTTCTATTATCTGAATCTAGATATGCATCTTGGAAATAGGTTAAAAAATATATATAATTTGACTTCAGTGAGAGCAGCTTACTGGGAAGGGGCAATCTAATTTATTGTTGCGTTGTGAATAATGCCAGGTAAAATTTGAGTAAAGACTTTGTGATACATTTTCTACATGGATTCCTTCATTTAATCCTCCCATCAACCTAAGAGGTAAATCCTGTTATTTTGATCCCCATTCTTCCACTAAATAAGTTTTTAAAAAATTTAAAATTTGACAATGTCCACACAAAGATTCAACAGTCCAAACTAGGCTGCAAGGGAACAAAGAGATATTTTCAAAATAGTATTCAAAGGATTTTAATAACATGTTTTTCTCCCAAATAGGAGGTAAGCCACTCTGTATCATTTCATTACGGTTTTGTTTAGCAACCTTGTTTTTCATTGATGGTATGGACTAGGAGTTGACAAGCTATGGCCCCCATATCAAATCTAGCCTATTCGCAAAACATATATGATCTGTAAGCTAAGAATGGAGGAACATGTAGGGCAGGATCCTGCAGACCAGCTTTTGTTTTGTCTGACCTCCAAACAATGAGAACCAAGGCTAGATGCTTAACTTCTGAGCCTATTTGTTCTCAGATGTAAAACAGGCTAATAATATTTATTCTGTCTCAGGGGGTCGTTGTGAGGATCAAAGGAGGCCAAATAGGTAAAAGCATGTGCTTAGTAAACTGTGAAACTTTTATAGAAATACTAGAAGCCCAGTGCACAGATTTGTGCACTGATGGGGTCCCTCGGCCTGGCCTGTGCCCTCTCACAATCCAGGACCCCTTGGGGGATATCAGACTGCTGGATTTTTCCCGATCCCCACAGGCCAGGCCAAGGGACCCCACTGGTGCATGAATCCATGCACCGGGCCTCTACTATGCATATAAGATCTTTGGTTAATCACTTCCCACTCTCCCTCTCTCCTTTGCCCTCTGAGATTAATCAGTCTGTTCCATGTTTCCATGCCTGTGCATTGAGCATCTGCCCCCTGGTGGTCAGTGAACAGCATAGCTACTGGTTGAATGGTCTATGGTCACTTAGGTTTTTATATATGTACTAGAGGCCTATTGCACAAAGATTCGTGCAATAGGCCACTCAGGCCAAAGCCTTCAAGTATTTGCTTTTAGTTTCTCTGCTCCAGCCAGAGTGCTGCTCTGTAGCTCCCTCCAGAGGTTATTGGGCAGTTTTGTAATTTGTTTGTTTTATTTTCCCAAAAAGGACAATCTCTGGGAATAAAGCACCGTTTTATATCGCTGAGCACAACCCCCTGGGGTCCCCTTGTAGAGAACACCCAGTGATCTCAGGGTAAACCATTTCTCCCCAGCATCCCTCACTGTGGCCACAGGTAACCATTTTGGAAACATGAATCCGTTATTCTGTTTCAAGTACTTGACACTCTACCCAGAAACATTCAGGCAAAATTTTTCATGCACTATTTTCCCCAGAGAGTTTATGGACCTCATAAAATTCACCCGCAGTAGCCTTAAGGATGAGTGGTCTCAGTTTGAATCCCAACATGAAACATTAATTACAAAAACTTACTCCAACCCACCCAGCTTCCTGATGGATTTACGTCTTCTATGGGGAAACTTGACGCCACTGAAGGGACTCAACTTGTACTAGTGGAAATTTCACGTCAGGCTTTAGCAACAAGCATGCAGTAGATAAATTTTGGGCCAGGGGCAAACCATTACTTATTGTTTTATCGTGTAGCACACCTACTTTTTTTTATTTTTATTTCAAACACAATTATGGCTCCATACCATCACAGCCTAAACCCTTATATCAAAGATCCTGTTTGTATGCTAGAATCATAAACATAAAAACAGAGGTTACCCAATGATTAACTCAGTGATGTTTTACAGGATGAAAACTCATATTATATCAATGAAGTGGGAGCCTATTTGACCATCTCAAACCCAGGTAAGAAGCTAGAGAAGGCTGGTCTGTCAGCAAGGACACTGGTTCTGGTTAGCTCATTTTCATCCCCTTGAATTCTTGAGTCTTTGATGCCACTTTTAAGAAACAATCTGAGAGAGTAGCCCACAGTATTTATAATTTGGGGGTACTTTGTACACCTTTGCATACTTTAGCTTGTTCATCTGCAGTGACTTTGGACAGATTTGTGGTTGATGGTGCAGTTGATTCTGTATTTTTGTAATCATGCATTTATCCCATAAAAATGTAGTTAGTACCTGCTAGTGCCAAGCCCTGGAATACCATGGGAATCCATTATTATCTCTGCTCTCAAGGAACTTTGATTCCAGAAGGGGAGAGAGGACCATACACATTAAATTATAATACACAGTTATGTAGTGATAAGTTCTATGAGCAAAACACAAGCAGGGTGGGGTGGGAGGACTGGAAAATTACTGAGGTAGGGCCTTAGGGGAGCCCTCTGGGAAGGAAGGCCTCTCTGAAGGTGAGGTTTGAGCAGAGAGATATGGGGACTTCTGGGCTTGGGGCAGCTTTTTCCATTGGCAGGAACAATGGGTGCATGGGCCCTAAGGAGTGTTCACTGGTGTGTTCTGGGACCAGGAGAGTAAGGTGACCAGATCATCCAGGTGTTGGTGGGACAGTCCTGATTTCAAACAATTTTTCCCACATCCTGCGGCGTTTTTAAAAAATCCTGATTTTTGGAAAGAATCTTTCCAATGTTTCCAATCTTTCCAACACCTGGACGATCTGGTCACCTTACAGTAGAGACCAGTGAGCAAAGCGGCAGAGGAGGTCTGAATGGCAGCCAGGCCAGGGCATGCAGAGCCCATGGGCAAAGCAAGGCGAGGACTGTGCAGTTTATTCCAAAGTGTGAAGGGAGGCCAGTGGAGGGGTTAGGGTAGACAAAAGACATATCAGATTTACATGCATGGAGAGTTGCCCAGTGGGGCAAGCTGAGAGAACGTCTACAATGTTCGCTCCCAGAAAAGCAATGCTCCCAGTCAAGTGGGGAATTTCTCAGAGGCCTCAGAAGAGTATGTGGAAAGCCAGGTTTACATAAAAGGATCATTAGTAAGTTTTCATGTCTGCTTTCTTTTGAAAATTATGTTATCTTAGTAAGGAAGTTATACTAAAGAGATATGCGAAGAAATGAAAATATGGAGAAATGTCTATTTTATTATTTATTTATTTATTTATTTATTTATTTATTTATTAAACCTCACCCAAGGATATCTTTTCCCTTGATTTTTTTAGAGAGTGTGGAAGGGGTGAGACGAGAAGAGGAGAGAGAAATCAATGTGAGAGAGACACATTAATTGGTTGTCTCCCACTCACCCCTGGACCAGGGTGGGGATGGAACCTGCAATGAAGTATGTGCCCTTGTCTGGGAATCAAACCCATGACCTTTTTTGATCAGTAGGCTGGCACTTTAACCACTGAGCCAAACCTGCCATGGCAAGAAATGTCTATTTTAAATATTAGCTATATCATATTGATATTGTTCAGGGGGGTGTTGTCAATGATTATGGGTAAAAATGTAAGTAGGATGTCACAGTCAATAACTCACTTTCACATACATTACCTGGCTGAGATGAGTATACTCATATAGACTAGGAATAAACAGAGTGACTGCTAAGATAAGTTAGCTAATGTGACCACTAGGCATGGACCAAATTTTAGCCAATAATAGGGTAGTAACGTGTCAAGAGGCAGGGGAAAGGAGAGTAATTTAGAGGCTGAGGGAGGAGATAAAACAACTCCAGATCCCAATAAGCAAGGCTCAGCAGTAGCACTGGAGATGTACCCGTATGATATCACAGTAATGGCAATGCTCATGTAGGTGGTGGTGGGGCCATTAGAAAGAGTAATTCGTTGTCATGACCATTGTAATGTTAGCCAGGGGCGGTTAGTAGTAGCCTACTTGGGATGTAACACATGATACAGTACTGTACACAGATACTTCAGTACATCATGTAAGACATTTGCATGTACAAATGCAAGGGTCTCCAGTAACTCCAAACAGAGCACCAGAAAAGTCCCCAAAATGCAGGAGAGTGGTGGTTTTTCATGAGGAGAAAGCCACGTCTAACGGAAGGCCATTTAACTGCACATGGGCCACCCAGCAATAGCTGGGACCCAACAGATAACATGCTGAGATTCCCATATGCCTTTATTTTACCTTTGTTCTCAGAGAAAATCTACCAAGGAATGAAGAGCTCTGCGATGATGTTTGAGACGGTGATCGGGCATTCCTTCAAGTGTGTGACTGAGCAAAGCATCCAGCTGTCAGCCCACCTTCAGCTGAAGACAATGAATGTCCAGCTGCAAGCCTTTGATTTCGAAGATGACCACTTTGGAAATGGTAAGTGAAGGGTTCACCATGTCACGAACATAAACCTCAGAGACCCATGGGTAATTTCAAGGTCTGTTTTTGTTTGTTTGTTTGTTTTGTTTTGTTTTTGTCTGAAGTTTTCAAAGGGACAAGAATCACATGCACTTTCTAGAACAGTATGATTCCACAAAGCTCTTAGGGCCAACCCTCCCTCCCACCATCTCTCTATGAGTCAATACCAACCACAGAACCAGACACCTAACCCACTCATGTCTACTGCTCTTCCATAGCAGAATATATTGTCCTTGTCTGAGTCATTTAAACACACACACACACACACACACACACACACACACACACAATCAATGATCCGGAAAAACACCATCTTCAACCTCCCTTTATAGGCTGTTGAGCACTAGTAATCTCAGGTGTGTTTGGAGAACACTTCGAAGATCCTGAGTGGTAGTAATGTCTCAAATTCAAGATTTCAGAATAGATCCTTCCCCACTCACAGAGGGAAAAGAGGAAAATGCCATGATCCAAGGTAGAAATGTTCTCCGTTGGACCTCCTCTTCCCAATGACACTATGTCCTCATCATGTTAGTTTCCATGTAACTTCTGCTTCGAGTTTTAACCACTGCAGAGGGAAGCGGGTCCTAGAAGGAAGGTCAGGAGCAGACCAGGGTAACTTTCCCCAAAAGCCCCTTTTGCCTCTGGAAGAGCGGAGCTACAAGGATTTCTACGTATGTCCAGGCATTGAACTTCAGTTCCTGAAACATCCCTCTCATAATAACTCAAATGTAAATGCTCAGCCTGGTCACAGAGCATGGTCATCCCAAACAGTAGGCTCCTAACTCCCACAATCTCACCCCCTCCTCCTGCAAATCCTGGAGCCCCAGGTAGCCCCGCTAGGAAGCACAGATTTTGAATGGGAAACGTGGGCCATGTAATTTGGTGCCTGTCCCTGTCTCCAGATTTGGGAACCATGGGGCCAGGGCTTACTGTAACCTGGGAGTCAAGACACAGTTCTGCTCCTGACCCTCTAGACCAGTGGTTGGCAAACTCATTAGTCAACAGAGCCAAATATCAACAGCACAACAATGGACATTTCTTTTGAGAGCCACATTTTTTAAACTTAAACTTCTTCTAACGCCACTTCTTCAAAATAGACTTGCCCAGGCTGTGGTATTTTGTGGGAGAGCCACACTCAAGGGGCCAAAGAGCCACATGTGTGGCTTGCGAGCAGCAGTTTGCCGACCACGGCTCTAGACCAAACCAATGCTTCTTCAAGTTGGATCTTGCCTCCCAGCTGCATCAAAATGGCGTGGCCCCACCTCCAACCCACTGAATCCTAATTTCTTGGGTGCAGGGCCTAGGTATCTACAATGCCATGCACGTACACTCCTTAAGTGGCCCCAAGCATGCAGTCAGGTTACTGTGCTGACCCATCCCCTCCTGGTTTGCACCCATCAGTATGTCGGAGGCAGCAGGTGGGAGGCCCAGCAGCTCCCTCTCTCCCTTGGTTTCCTTCTCTGCAAAGCCGGGGCAGGCAGGGGCAGGATGGACCCCTCAGCATTGTGGCTGGCCTGTAACACCTGTTACTCTGACTTCAGTTACAGCGGATGAATGCTTCAATGACAGAAACAAGAGAGAAATCCCTGTGGCCCTGGGCCTGAGTATCGCAGGACTGCTTGGCGTTTTGCTAACAGCATGCCTGGTGGCCAGAGAGAGGCCCGGTAGAGGATATGAGCGCATGTAAAACCCCAGCTCCTTCAGAATGTGCGGGGCGAAGGCCTTGGGAAGTCTGGCTTCATAGTCAGCCTAAAGCGAAGGGATTGACGTTTCCAGGTGCTTCTCCCACCCTCCCAGTCTGATTGGGAACCCCAGCTTTCCACCAAAAGGCCACCCACAGGCTGGCTTAACTGCAGCCCCTCCTGCTTTCTCCTGTCAGCGTGGGGAGACATGGCCTCATGGGCTCAAATTCCACCCTCCACCCCTGGTAACGTGGGCCTGGCGGTGAGCACTGGGAACAAGCGGTAGGGACACGTGAGGACAAAGCAGATTCCCAAAGGGAGAACGGTGGGAGGGACACTTTCATGTTGCATTGCTTTTTCTTATACATTTTTAAGGGTCTCACTATCTAGTATTTTTTTATGCATATTAATTAAAAAAACAAAAACAAACAAAAAAACAATCCATTTCAAAATACATTCTAAACTGATTTTAAACTCCTGGTTTTGCCCAAATTTTGATTTACTTAAATAACAGATAGTCTTACTAGACTATCATTTTTAAAAAGACATTTTTTTGCGCTTCTGTAATGTACTGTTAGTTAAAAACTAGAAAACTTTCTAACCTTTCATTTTTATTAAAATGTAAAACGTGTACTAAAGATCTTGGCAAACTAAAGCAGCTCAATAAATGTTAGTCTCCAATTCCTTCACCTTCATTTGTTGTCTGTCTTCTTAACACTTTTTCCCCCCTGCTTTGTCTCTATTTTCTTTATTCTAGCCTATCTCATAAATTGGTTGATTTGGGCCACTGTGGGGTGGGGGTGACGGGTAGGGCCAAGCTGCCTGAAAACAATCAGAACTGGCCAGCCGAAGAGGTAGATCTACCCAGATTGTGTCCCACTTCCCTTTTTTTTTGAGCAAACATTTACCAAGAAAAAAAGTTGTAAACTGGGAAATTCCTGATTGGGAGTGATTGCTATCTGGACGGAAAGTTCTACTGAAATAAGGCTCGGAATGTTGTTCCTGGTATTAGTGGTCTGTTTAAACAGGAGAAGTGGGGTTTTACGTTAGAGAAGGAGAGTCATGGCTGTCTGGGTGTTCGCCGCTTTTACTAACAGGAAGTTTCTTGTTTTGCTACACTTGCCAAAGGTGCTACTCACTATTCTTCACAGCAGGTGTATGAAAGTTGACCACAACTCTGCAGCCACTGTTTTTTGTTTTGTTTTTTTAAATATATTTTATTAATTTTTTACAGAGAGGAAGGGAGAAAGATAGTTAGAGACATCAATGAGAGAGAAACATTGATCAGCTGCCTCCTGCAGATCCCCTACAGTGGATGTTACTGCAACCAAGGTACATGCCCTTGACCGGAATCGAACCTGGGACCTTTGAGTCACAGGCTGACGCTCTATCCACTGAGCCAAACCGGTTAGGCCCACAGCCACTGTCTATCTAGGACATGTACTGGTTTTCCCTTGAGGTACTTCAGCTCTCTCCACTTCCCAGAAGTGAGGCGGTGGGGAGGGCCCACAGCAGCTTCAAGAAGGTTCGAGAGCCCGGGACAATGTCAGAAGTGCCAGGAAGTTCTTCAGAACAGGAAGGAGATGTTGACGAAAAATCTGGGATGTGAGGACTCGGTGTTCTCCAAAGTGACTCAGGTTCAACAGCGAGGGCTTGGCTTTGGAGAGATGCCATCTCTCGCCATGTGCCCCTTGTTGGGTCCCGTTTCTGGTCCTGCCTCCGGTGGCCTTGAAGGGTCCGGACTGCAGAGCATGAGTGGTTCACTTAGCCTGCCATTAGAGTGACTACCAGAAGGTACATCTCCTAGTGTGTCAAAACTTCTCCACAGCCGATGGAGTTCAGATCAAGAGGAGAGGGATAAGAGAGCTCTTTCACTTAGGTTTAATTTTTCCTTTCTATCCTCTTTAATGAGTTCTTTGCAGTGATGGCTGCTCCTTAGACTCCTGTTATCTACCTGACCCCACTCCCCCAAACTAATTATCTATAAAATAATTTTGAGTTAACATTCTAGTAATCAAAAAGAACAAAGGGCCGAAACCAGTTTGGCTCAGTGGATAGAGCGTCAGCCTGCGGACTGAAGGGTCCCGGGTTCGATTCTGGTCAAGGGCATGTACCTTGATTGCAGGCACATCCCCAGTAGGGGATTGATGATTCTCTCTCATCGATGTTTCTAACTCTCTATCCCCCTCTCTTCCTCTCTGTAAAAAATAAATAAAGTATATTAAAAAAAAAAAAAAGAAGAAGAAGAACAAAGGTTTCACTTGAATAACTAATAAATATCGGGTAAGCCCTTTCCCACTTTCGTGTTGGGGGTGGGGTCCTTATGGTAGCTCAAGAAAAATAATTTTCTGAGACTTGCACCGGAGATGAGTGATTTTTATTTGCATGAAATTACATCCCTGGGTTTCCCAAGTCCCATTTTCCTTAGCCCAGGCCTGGAAGAAATATAACTGGGGCTTCAGCAGAACTGAGTAAAGCAAGTGTCCAGATTTTTCGTTCCATGTTGGAATTGGGTCCGGTTTAACATTAGGCTGGCGGCAGTCCACTTATCCATTGTGTGGGGCCCACGTGGCTGTGGGTCATGGGGTGAGTGCAGGGGAGCGAAGAGAAGGTGCCCCCTGCAACCAGAGTCCCAGGGGAACCAAGAGAACCAGGAGCTTAGAGAGTGAATGCCTTTGTTTAGTGGATTAAATATTCCAAATCTCCCCGTGTTTGCAGTGGCCATGCCTACTCTGACCAATGACCTGTTCCCAGGGGTGACTGGCAAACACCTTCCCTGGGTCACCCAGACTTTACTGGGCACGTGTCTATTCTTTCCCTGTCCAGTCCCTTCCCCAGTGATCTGCCAGGAACAGACCAGTGGCTTCTCGGGGTGTGTTAATGGCATGCCTATACTATTGGGCCTTCTCTTCCCTTCTTTACTGATATTAATAACTAGGTTCATTACCACAGTATCATTTTGACACAATTTCTTTTACGGACTCACATCACACTTCGCAGAGAGCACAGCTGGAAGAAAATGGAATTGCTGAGAAGATAAGGTTATCTTATTTAATCCTCCAACACTCTTATATTACTATTGCTTACTTTCTGAAAAGGGGAAATTCCAAGGTTAAATAACTTACCCAAGTTCACACAGTTAGTTAGTGGTGGAATTGTAAAGAGTCAAGCCCAGGTTTGACTCCAGAGCTCAAACTTCCTACTCTAGCCTGCTTTCCGGTCTGTCCTCATCAAACCTTACCCGCTATATTGTATTTGTTTTTTCTCTTAGTGGACGAGTGTTCCTCTGACTACACAATTGTCCTTCCCGTGATTGGGGCCATCGTGCTGGGTCTCTGCGCTGTGGGTTTGATTGTCTATGCCATCCGCCTAAGGCGTGAATCATCTGGATACCAGAGAATCTAATTGGTGCCCCGGGGAGAGAAAATAACGGAGCTTAGAGAATTCTTCATCGTTTCCAGGGTATTGGGGGCTTCCCTTAGAGGGTGGGCCCTTCCAACAATGTCAGTCACCTTTCACAAAACCCGAGTCGTTTCTGATTTAACTTCAAACAGCACATCAATGTCTACGTTTTTGTTTTCTTTTTCATTTTATGAAAGATCTAGTGAGCTGTTTAAGAGTATATTTCCTCGTTTCCTTCCAAATATTTTAACCATTCCAGGTCAACATTTGAGATATATTTAGTTAACATGATTTATGTTAAGTGGTATATGCCTCCAATTTACCAAAAGATCAAGCGTAATTAATGCTACCTGTGTTCACACTGGGGATTTTATTCTATCCTTGATTTCTTTTCCATTTAAAAAAAATGCCTTGTTTTGTCTATAAAAATGGAATCACAATATTTTACTACTTATGTTTTATATGACAAACATATGCTTGGCAATCTACTAACTTCTTTCCACTTTAAATGGCCTACCAAAAAGAACAACATTTTACAGGTAGCCTAGGTGTTTTTTGTTTGTTTGTTTTGTTTTTTAATTTCTTTATTGATTAAGGTATCACATATTTGTCCTCCTCCCCCCAGTCCCATCCCAAACCCCTCTCCACGCATGCCCTAACCCCCTGTTGTCTGTGACCACTGGTTAGGTAGTCTAGGGTTTTTTTATCTGACACCAACAACAAATCACCTTTACTGTTCATATGGACAACTTCTGTTCCACAATCACTAAAGTCTAAGAATTAGATAGCTCTGAACAACAGAGTAAAATAATAAGCAAGAAACAGTAATAATGACCCTTAATTACTGAACATGTATGTGTCAGACACTAGGTATACATAATTTAATTTATGTAATTTACATCACTTCATTCTCACGGTTCATCGAACAGTAAACTCAGATTTAACAAAATTAATCACTTAAATGCCACCCAGCTAACAAGTGGCCGAGCCAGGATTAGACTTCCCATTGCTCTAGGCCAGTGGTCGGCAAACTCATTAGCCACCAGAGCCAAATATCAACAGTACAACGATTGAAATTTCTCTTGAGAGCCACATTTTTTAAACTTAAACTTCTTCTAATGCCACTTCTTCAAGATAAACTCACCCAGGCTGTGGTGTTTTGTGGAAGAGCCACACTCAAGGGTCCCAAAAAGCCTAATGTGGCTCTAGAGCCGCAGTTTGCCGACCACGGATCTCGTAGTACCAAGGTCTCGGTATTTTCACGACACCAAGTTGCCTACAGGAACAAGTGATACGAAGTGCTGCCCAAAGCCTCACACTGGCATATGCTCCCTTTTACATAGGAAATAAATTTATCCAGAATTGTGACAGGTGAGGGTAGATTAAAGGAGGACTTGCCAGGTAATAGAGGAGCCTATCTTTAAGTTCTACTCCCTTAAAGCAGAGGGAGGGGCTCTGTAACATCAGCCAGCTTCTCATTTTAATCGGATTGTTTAGCTGTGGCTTTAAAGATAAAGAAATGGAGTAAAGTCAAGGTATTTTTTTTTTTTATTATTATTTCTTTGAAAACATCAATTTTCTAACCGCTAACCAACTTTTCTTTCTTGAATGTAGATCTCCCTCTAGTGGTAACTTGCTACTTCTGCACTTTTCATAGCCACATTTTCTATTTTAGTCCACTTTATTCTGTAAAGCAGTCTGCCCCTCCACCCCCACTCCCACACATACACACACAAAAAAATAATTTTTGTGCTTGTTTTTATTGCTAAATAAAGGAACTAAGTCAGGACGTTAATATAAAGACCACATGCCTCTAGCATTCTTTAGTAAAAGAATATCTCGTCACCCAAGATTTGTTCTCTTACAAGTCAAGAGTATTGGCAAGGTCCTGATTTTAGTCTTAATAGAATGTTGAATTGTATTATACATTTTTGTAATAAAAACATATTTTGGAGATTCACTTATTTCTTATAATTCAGTTTTTCATGTATAAATATTTTCGTTTACAATCTTAGTGGTTGGCCTTGAATATGGAGGTTGTAACTTGAATCAATAGGTTAAGACATCTTGCTTCAAGTAATTTATTTTGTTCTATTCTTCATTGCCACATTTATTTGAGATGAACTTAATTTCCGAGAAAATAAACCACATTAAAGTTACAAATTAAATCTCTCGATTCAGTCCAGACTATCTGATTGGATTACTGGTTTACTTAAATGCTCTCATAATTCATTCTTTCATTCATTGATCAGCCAACATTGATTAAGGACTTACTAAATGCCAGACACTCTGGAAGCTGGTTAGATAAATAAGATGTCCTGTATTAATTATCTATAGCTGTGTGACAAATTACCCCAAAAGTTAGAGGTTTTAAACAACAAACTTTTATTATCTCACAGAGTTTCTGAGGGTCAGAAATCTGGAAGCAGCTTAACTGGGAGGTTCTGGCTTACAATCGCTCACCGGGTGGCAGTTGAATTGTTGGCCAGAGCTGCAGTCATCTGAAGGTTCAACTGGAGCCGAAGGGTTTGCTTTCAAGTTTACACTATGTGGCATATCCATAGGGAGGCTCACGCTATGACAGCTGGCTTTTTCCCAGAGCAAATGATCCAAAAAGGAGACTGACAACCTAATCACGGAGTCACACACCAACTTCTGTTCTACTCTATTGGTCACAAGGACCACCCCTGGTACAGTGTGGGAGGGGACTACACAGAGTGTGAATGCCAGGAGAGGCGGAAATTGAGGAGGGCCATCTTGGATATTGACTATCCCAAGTCAATTGTCAAGGTTCGTACAGTGGAATGACTGGCTTACATTTCTGGGAAAGTCAGGTAAATAAATTCTAGAATGCATGCTAGGAAAAATGGCTTAATAAGAATCTATACAAAGGGTAATAAGAGCAGGTTACTCTCTAGCCTGCTTCCAACTCTGCCCCACGTGTAGCACCTGCCTAGGAAAGCAACCCCTTAATCCCTGGTGCTGACAGTCCCTTGACCAGCCACTGTTCAGGCTGACGTGGCTTTCCAAGAGGCTGGTCATTGTCCCATCGCTCTACAACACACACTGATAGCTTTTCCTCAGGGATTTATTAACGCTCCTGTCTTCTCTCATGATATAATCCTAAGAGATCTGGCTCCATATACACATCCCCTGGGACATCACACCGAACCATGACATGGACCACATCATGCTCATTAGATAAGATAAGCACAAGCGGTCAGTATGCTGGAGGCCTCGGTAAGACAGATGTTCCAGGAGGTTAGACACAAATCCTATAAAGGATTCAGGCATTGACTACTTCAGTGAAGTTTTCAGTGAGCCAGGAGTTCAGGGGCAGGCCAGAACATCTACTTCAAAATAAAAGACACGTGTTATGCACCTTGCATCCTTTCCACAGAGAAGGCAGCGCAAAGCCAGGTCAGCCCCTCCAGGTTCTGGAGACAGCATTCCACAGCTGGGAGAGTCCCTCTGGCCCATTTACGAGGTGACATAGAAAGCTATCCGCTCTGAGTGGAGCCAGAGCAGGAAAGCGTGGCAAAGCAACTCCAGGCCTGCCATCAGAAACTGCCATCAGCCCTGCTGCTTAAGCCATCAGCCAGGCAGACCTTATGGTGCTAGAGGTGACAGTGGCGGGGAAAGGTACAGTATGGAATTTTTGATACAAACCAGTGGGAGAACCACAACACAGACCCTGAGCATTCTGGAGCAAGACCTAGCCTATGCCATTTGCAGCAGAGAAACAGCTGTTGGCATGCCATCTGTCTTACCGAGGCCTCCAGCATACTGACCGCTTGTGCTTATCTTATCTAATGAGCATGATGTGGTCCATGTCATGGTTCGGTGTGATGTCCCAGGGGATGTGTATATGGAGCCAGATCTCTTAGGATTATATCATGAGAGAAGACAGGAGCGTTAATAAATCCCTGAGGAAAAGCTATCAGTGTGTGTTGTAGAGCGATGGGACAATGACCAGCCTCATGGAAAGCCACGTCAGCCTGAACAGCCTGAACACTTGACCTTGTGACTATATATCCAGAATTGCCCAACTTGGGTTGGATTATGTCAAATCCATTCAGTAATAAAATCGGACAGGTCTCAGCTGTAGTCAATTATAAACTGGAAATGGTACGTCCAGGTTCTAGCCCAAGCAGGTCTAGAGGGCATGAAGAGGCTTTGTGGGTAGGTAGCCCAGGACCCGGGGCCACCCACCAGAGCAGCACCAGCGCCCCTCTAGGTGGAGGGGATGCATGTCACCTTTTGAAAAAGGAAGAAAGCCCAAATTGGTTTACAGATCAGTTGGCTTGGTATGTGGGTGCAAAGCAAATCTGGACAGTGGCTGCACTACAGCCACATTCAGAAGTGAACCCGAAAGACAGGAAGGAGAGGAATCTTCCCAGTGGGCTCAGCAGCAAGCAGAGCACTGGTTATCCCAATCTGTGTGGAAGGGAAGGTGGCCCAGGGTGAGAAAATACCCGGTGTCCTGGGCAGTGCCACGGGCTGGTCATCTGGTTAGGGGCTTGGAAAGAACAGGACCGGATGACCAGAGACAATGAGCTCTGGGATAGAGGCATGTGGGTGGACACATCAGAGTAGGCGTAAAGTGTGAACAGTTTTGCATCACATATTAATGTCTACCAGAAAGCATCCACCATGAAAGGGTCACTGAACAAGAAGTCAACAAGATGATTCTGCCAGAGAAGTTAGGTAGCCTTTGTCACAGACCACCCCAGGATTTGCAAAATGGGCACGTGAATGGGGTGGGCATGATGGCAGGGGCAGAAGCTCTATATGGACTCAACAGCAGGGAAGCCCACTTCCCAAGGCCAGTCTAGCCATTGCAAATTAAAACTACAATGGGATAACACTTCACAACCTCCAAAATGGCTAAAATTAAAAAGATTGGCAACACCAGGTGTTGATAAGGAATTGCCATTCATTGCTGGTAGAAGAATAAAATGAAGCAACCATTTTAGGAAAACTTTTGGGCAGCTTCTTATAAA